TTCCTGGTGATTTCTGGTGGTTTGTGATGTTTTCTGGTGGTTTTGTGGTGGTTCCTGGTGGTTCCTGGTGGTTCCTGGTGGTTTTTGGTGATGTCTGGTGGGTTTTGTGGTTGGTTCCTGGTGGTTCCTGGTGGTTTTTGGTGATGTCTGGTGGTTTCTGGTGGTTGTGTGGTGGTTCCTGGTGGTTCCTGGTGGTTTTGGGGTGGTTCCTGGTGGTTCCTGGGGGGGTTCCTGATGGTTTTTGGTGAGGTCTGGTGGGTTTTGTGGTTGGTTCCTGGTGGTTCCTGGTGGTTTTCTGGTGATTTGTGGTGGTTTTGTGGTGGTTCCTGGTGGTTTTGTGATGGTTCCTGGTGGTTTTGTGGTGGTTCCTGGTGGTTTTGTGATGGCTCCTGGTGGTTTTGTGGTGGTTCCTGGTGGTTCCTGGTGGTTTTGGGGTGGTGTTCACCAAGAGGGACGTCTTCCTCAAGAGGGTCGGTTTTGGGGTCATTTGGAGGGGTTTTGGGTGGTTTGGGGTGGTTTTGAGGTCATTTTGTGGGAGGTTTAGGGTAGGACACGCTCATGGCTGAGAAGAAGCCCCAACCCAGCACCCTGAATGGAGTTTTGAGGCATTTTTGGGACATTTTGAGATGTTTATGGGTTCTCCTGGATTGGTGACAGTTCTGGGGTGTTTTTTGGTGTCCCTCAGGGTGAGGTGATGAACCTGCTGATGTTCCTGTCCACGTGGGGTGGGGATTTTGGGATGTTCTGATGGATCTGCTGATGTTCCTGTCCACGTGGGATGGGGATTTTGGGGAGGTTTGGGATCTCTGAGGGTTCTCCTGGATTGGTGACAGTTCTGGGGTGTCCCTCAGGGCGAGGTGATGAACCTGCTGATGTTCCTGTCCACGTGGGATGGGGATTGTGGGATGTTTTGGGGTCTCTGAGGGTTCTCCTGGATTGGTGACAGTTCTGGGGTGTCCCTCAGGGCGAGGTGATGGATCTGCTGATGTTCCTGTCTACATGGGATGGGGATTGTGGGATGTTCTGATGGATCTGCTGATGTTCCTGTCCACGTGGGGTGGGGATTTTGGGATGTTCTGATGGATCTCCTGATGTTCCTGTCCACGTGGGGTGGGGATTTTGGGATGTTTTGGGATCTCTGAGGGTTCTCCTGGATTGGTGACAGTTTTGTGGTGTCCCTCAGGGCGAGGTGATGGATCTGCTGATGTTCCTGTCCACGTGGGGTGGGGATTGTGGGATGTTTTGGGATCTCTGAGGGTTCTCCTGGATTGGTGACAGTTTTGTGGTGTCCCTCAGGGCGAGGTGATGGATCTGCTGATGTTCCTGTCCACGTGGGGTGGGGATTTTGGGATGTTCTGATGGATCTGCTGATGTTCCTGTCCACGTGGGGTGGGGATTTTGGGATGTTCTGATGGATCTGCTGATGTTCCTGTCCACGTGGGATGGGGATTTTGGGATGTTCTGATGGATCTGCTGATGTTCCTGTCCACGTGGGGTGGGGATTGTGGGATGTTCTGATGGATCTCCTGATGTTCCTGTCCACGTGGGGTGGGGATTGTGGGATGTTTTGGGATGTTTTTAGGATGTTTTGGGGTCTCTGAGGGTTCTCCTGGATTGGTGACAGTTCTGTGGTGTCCCTCAGGGCGAGGTGATGAACCTGCTGATGTTCCTGTCCACGTGGGATGGGAAGGTGCCCCAGCCGGCCATCCTGAAGCCGCGGCCGCTCTGGACGGGGAAGCAGATCTTCTCCCTCATCATCCCCGGCCACATCAACTGCATCCGCACCCACAGCACCCACCCCGACGACGAGGACAGCGGCCCCTACAAGCACATCTCCCCCGGGGACACCAAGGTGGGGGCTGGGGGGCTCTGGGGACATTCGAGGAGGTCTAGGGGGGCTTGGTGGGGTGGAAAAGTGATCTGAGGGGCTTTGGTGGCATCTGAGGGGGCTTTGGTGGCATCTGAGGGGGCTTTGGTGGGATCTGAGGGGGCTTTGGTGGGATCTGAGGGGGCTTTGGTGGGATCTGACAGGGCTTTGGTGGGATCTGAGGGTGATTTGTGGTGGTCTCAGGTGGCTTTGGTAGGACTTGAGAAGGTCTGGTAGAACTTTGTAGACTCTGAGGTGACCTGGGGTTGTTTTTGGGGTGCTCCAGGTGGAGTTTTGGGCTTCTCCTGGATCTGTGAGGTCCTGACCCCATTCTTTGGGTGTCCCCAGGTGATCGTGGAGAACGGGGAGCTGATCATGGGCATCCTGTGCAAGAAGTCCCTGGGGACATCGGCCGGGTCCCTGGTGCACATCTCCTACCTGGAGATGGGCCACGACACCACGCGGCTCTTCTACAGCAACATCCAGACCGTCATCAACAACTGGCTGCTCATCGAGGGTCAGCTCCGTCCCGGGGGCTCCTGGGGACCCTCTTGGTGGCATCTAACGGGGGTTTGGTCACCCGGGGACCTTCTCAGGTCCTAACTTGGTGGAGCTCAGGTGTCCTTGAGGCTCTTGGACCCCGTTCTTGAGGTCCTGGTGGTCCTTGGATCCCTTTTCTGGGGACTGGAGGGATCTGAGGGAGCTGGGACCCCTCTTGGTGGCATCTAACGGGGGTTTGGTCACCCGGGGATCTTCTCAGATCCCATCTTGGTGGAGCTCAGTTGTCCTTGAGGCTCTTGGACTCCGTTCCTGAGGTCCTGGTGGTTTTGGACCTCTTCTCTGGGGATTGGAGGGAGCTGGGGACCCTCTTGGTGGCATCTAACGGGGGTTTGGTCACCCAGGGACCTTCTCAGGTCTTAACTTGGTGGAGCTCAGGTGTCCTTGAGGCTCTTGGACCCTGTTCTTGAGGTCCTGGTGGTTTTGGACCTCTTCTCTGGGGACTGGAGGGATCTGAGGGAGCTGTGGACCCTCTTGGTGGCATCTAACGGGGGTTTGGTCAACTGAGGATCTTCTCAGGTCCCAACTTGGTGGAGCTCAGGTGGCCTTGAGGCTCTTGGAGTCCCTTCCTGAGGTCCTGGTGGTCCTTGGATCCCTTTTTGGGGGTCCTGAGGTCCCGAGTGGGTTGGAACCTCTCTTGATGTCACCAAATTGGGGTTCAAGGACGTGGGGACCTTCTCAGGTCCCATCTTGGTGGAGCTCAGGTGTCCCTGGAGCTCTTGGACCTCGTTCCTGAGGGCAGGAGGAACCTGTGGGATCCTTGGACCCCTTTTTGGGGTCTGGGAGCTTCTGGGGGTCCATGGTGGGCTGGAACCCCTCTTGGTGGCCACCAAACCAGGCTTTGGTCACTTGGGGACCTTCTCAAGTCCCACCTTGATGGGACTTTGCTGTCCCTGGAGCTCTTGAGTCCCATTTTTGGGGCCAGAATGACTCGGGGGGTCCTTGGACCCCTTTTTTGGGGACAAGGAGAACTCCAGAACTTTGGGTGGGGGGTCCCAACCCAATTTTTGTCCCTGAAGGACCTCATTGTCCCCACGTCCCACCAGAACCTGACCAGGGTTGGTTTTTTGGGGTGGGGTGGGGTCAGGTGTGGGGTTGGAGATGACCCCAGGTTTGGTGGGACCCCCCCTGAACCCCCAGTGTCCCCCCCAGGTCACACCATCGGCATCGGGGACTCCATCGCCGACGCCAAGACCTACCAGGACATCCAGAACACCATCAAGAAGGCCAAGCAGGATGTGATCGAGGTGGCATCTCGGGGGGGTTCTTGGGGGGGTTCCTGGAGGATCTCAGGGGGGTTCCTGGGATCTTGGGGGGGTTCCTGGAGGATCTCAAGGGGGTTCCTGGGATCTCGGGGGGGTTGCTGGAGGATCTCAGGGGGGTTCCTGGGATCTTGGGGGGTTCCTGGAGGATCTCCGGGGGGTTCCTGGGGATCTCAGGGGGTTCTTGGGATCTTGGGGTGGTTCCTCAGGATCTCAAGGGGGTTCCTGGGATCTTGGGGGGGAGTTCCTGGAGGTTCCTGTGAAGTTTTTTAGGGTTTTCTTGAGGTTCTTGAGGTGGTTTTGGGTACCAGGAGGTCCAAGACCAACATCTCCCAGGTTTGGGAGGTTCCAGAAGGTCTTGGGGTGGCTCCTGAAGGATCTCATGGGGGTTCCGTGCGGTTCCTGTGGAGTTTTTTGGGTTTTTTTGAGGTTCTCAGGTGGTTTTGACCATCAGGGAGTTTTGGGGTGCCCCACTGACCCCTCTGGGGTGGCTTTTGGGGTCTCCAGGTGATCGAGAAGGCCCACAACAACGAGCTGGAGCCCACCCCAGGCAACACCTTGCGCCAGACCTTCGAGAACCAGGTGAACCGGATCCTCAACGACGCCCGCGACAAGACGGGGTCTTCTGCTCAGAAATCCCTGTCCGAGTACAACAACTTCAAATCCATGGTGGTCTCGGGGGCCAAGGGCTCCAAGATCAACATCTCCCAGGTTTGGGGAGCTCCATGTGGGGTTTGGGGTGGTTCCTGGTGGATCTCAGGGGGTTTGGGGTGGTTCCTGTGGGATCTCAGGGGGTTTGGGGTGGTTCCTGGTGGATCTCAGGGGGTTTGGAGTGGTTCCTGGTGGATCTCAGGGGGTTTGGGGTGGTTCCTGTGGGATCTCAGGGGGTTTGGGGTGGTTCCTGCAGGATCTCAGGGGGTTTGGAGTGGTTCTTGGTGGATCTCAGGGGGTTTGGGATGGTTCTTGGTGGATCTCAGGGGGTTTGCGGTGGTTCTTGGTGGATCTCAGGGGGTTTGGGGTGGTTCCTGGTGGATCTCAGGGGGTTTGGGATGGTTCCTGCAGGCATCTGG